AAAAGCCAGTTCCTAAAACTTACCATCTGTGTGAGGATCCAATAAACGCGTCTCAGGTTATTGATGTGGCTGCTATGGAGGTTACACAATGACTTCAATGAGAACATGACTTCATACATTCTTCTCAGGTTTGTCCCACAAAAGACTGACCTTGAGAGTACATTTCAACAGACAACTGAACTAATATGCCTTTCTGGCATGTTGGAATGAAACCGGCATAGAAAGGTGTCACTTAACAGACAGCAGCAATATACCACTAATTCCAAATATGCTAATGGTCCTGTATTGTGTGTTTGGAGAACGAGACTGAGCAGCTTTAGTATTGCACTCGATGCCCTTGTTGTTTTGGGGAGTGTGTAAAATGTGGTTCAGCAGGAGAGTTGAGCAAATTTGGGTTAAGTTCAAAGTCTAAATCAAACCAACAGTAGAAGGCTTAAAAAGACTATAGCTGATGGACAGAGAGGCAGCAATTATTTTGGTAATCAATAAATCACACCAAACATTACCTTGTTTTAGCCATTACAATTGAGAGTATTTGCTGCTTTTCTTCCTCTTATTTGACAGTAAACCTGATTCTTTGTTTTTAGACTGTTGGTTGGACACACAAGCAATTTCAAGACGTCACTTTGGGCTCCAGGAAGTTATACAGGCTTTATTGTGGGCATTTTCTGACATATAGACCGAACGATTAATCGAGACAATAGCCAGCAGATTGATCAATGATGAAAAGTTGCAGCACGAGAGCATTTAAATAATCATTTGTTTAAAGAAAGTTACTGACAAGTTATATCTAGAAATGTTCACGTAGTCTCGGCAGTGGTCAGAAAACCCACTATAATAACTTATGAAAATTTGAAGCGTTTGTGAAGCTGCAGTATTAATACCAACACAAACAACTAAATTGCAAATAGATGACTTTGTTGCTCATTGAACGAGAGTATTTAAATTCTAAAAAAAAAAAAAAAAAAAAAACCACCACAAAGAGATGGATGGAGAATGTGAGAGAAGTGAAACTAGAGAGAAAACAACACGCTCAGAGGAAGATGGTACTGTAGCCTGAAAGAGAGTGCAGGATATAGAGGAACACACACACACACACACACACACACACACACACACACAGGCTGGATGGATGAGGTGGAGTGAGGGAGGGGAGAGGGTGGGGGTGGGGGGTGGAGAAGAGCTTGAAATGAGGGAGATGCAGAGGATTTCTTTTTTTTCTCCTTTTTTTTTTTTACCCAGCATCCCTGGCTCCGGCACGTGTCACAGAGTGTGTTCATCACATGAATAGCAGTGTTCTCTCTCTCTCTCTCTCATGCACACGCACACACAAGGATGAAGAAGTGGAGACCCTGCCTCAGTGGAAACGCACATAGACGAATACATTTCATTCACGTGTGCATTTTCCGTACCATGAATGAAGCCTAATGCCTATTCATAAAATATACCCAAGAATGTATTCTCTCATAATTAAAAGCCGCCCTATGACTCTAATTCGCCTGCAGTTTGTGTTCATAACCTTGCACGCCCCTAATGTTCACTCCTGGAGTCAAATGGAACCTCAAACTAAAATCTTTTGCAAGTTCTGACCCAAGTCTTTGTCACTCTCGTGCTGTACTGATGAATGGCTGCATCCTTCTTACATAATAGGACCATTTTCTCAATAAACTCTGATGTCAAAAGGGAGGGGGCACTTCTAAGACGCATCCCCCACCCCAACCTTGCAAAAAGCTCCCTTTGGTCTAATTTACTTCCCTGTAATGGAGTTTTACATTCACACAACAGAGCAGACACCGGCTCCGTTATATAATACGAGATGCTGGGGGTTAAGACTGGAGCGAGTGGAGAGGAGAAAACTGGGCACCAGTACACATTACAGTATTCCAGCTGCTCAACTGGAAATAAAAGCATACATGTTGAACACCACATCATCAAAAAAACAGCTAAATACCAAGAAATAACCTTTCAAAATAATAACTAAAGATCCCAACATTCAGGAATCTCTCATTCCTCTGATGCACCTGTTGGTCTTCTTCTAAATCTGCTTAGAAATTAAAACACAAAATGTGCCATGATAAAAACTACCATTCCTCCACTCGAGGTTAAACCAACAACAAAAACTGAGCTGCAGACATGGATTGGGCTGACAGGAGGTGGGGAGGGTGAATATGCTGTGGATGGATGCACAGTGCAGTATAGAGAGGCTGGGGAAGCCGCCTTCCATCATGCTGCAATGCTCCTGCTCTGCCGCTAGGGGTCTCCTCCACTAAGGGGAAGACCAGCAGAGGAACTCCTGTGAAATCCCTGCTCTGCTCTGCATGAGAGAGCTGCAGAGCTTTAGCACAGAAAGATGTGCAGTGAGAACACGAAAAACTCTAAACAAACAAAAAAAAAAAAAAAGGACTAAAATGGGGAGGGTTTAACTCTTATCTGAGCCAACTGCTTTCCAGGCAAACTTTACCTCAGTCCCCTGCAACCCTTCTTATATACAGTCTATGCCTACAACACATTCAAACCGGTCTGACCAGTTGTCTCCTGTGTTGCAACAACAGCCATGTGCACATAGAAAAGCACATGTTTGAAGGATTAGCCAAGTGGCCAGGCGTGGGACATTTTTCTAAAAAGCATGGTCGTCAAAGAATTCTTTCTATGAGTGAAAAATATATTTTTAGGAGGGAGGGTAATAACTTGCTCGACTAACCAATATCCTCTTTTATTATCACATGAAGTCAAAAATGTAAAGATACCAAACCAGTGGCTTATTTCTTAGTCCAACTACAAAAGTATTTGTTTAAAATGACAGAATGTTTATGTAGCAAAATTCCTTAAAAAAGGAAAAAAGAGGCAAATGAGGATTTGTACATGTACTGCCATGCGTAGACGCAAAACCCTAACACGAGGTATTCTGTAACTGCACAGCAAGAAAGAGTGGATTCACAAGGGATGTGGAAGAAAATACGTCAAGGACTGAAACTTCTGACAGTGCAGTTTCACATATACACCCTGGGCATTAAACTAAAGCACAATACCGGCACTATTCAATGGTTAGAGGCCGTTTAACTTGTTGCAACAGGTGCCTCTGTCTTTCAGTGAAAAGGCGGGTACACGGAGTGGCACTACTTGACGTGTCTTTAAAGAAGAAATCACACCACTACCTGAGCAAGCCAGACCTGCACATCTGGTACAACAAGCTCTGGACACCTCATCCCAAGCAAACATCTCCCCTCCTCCACCTGTTCACTTCCTGCCATGGCTGCAACCGTTGGCATGTCAGACTGGTGCCAAGAACTGGTTTCAGGGAGTGGCGTGCAAGTTGACTTGTTAAAGAAAATAAAAAAGGCATGATGAAATGAATGTGACCAGTGTGGAAAAGTTAGAGTTTCCATGAACCTTTAGATCAGTAAGAATCCTTTCTAAAACTGATAGTTTAGACTGGACCATTTCCTGCACTCTTAAAACTCAGCTCTACAGAATCACAGGGATTATATTGTACCAAGTATACTTTAAAAACAACAACTCAGAAATGTTCTTTCCTGCACCAAAAAAAAAATTACTAGGAATCATTTCTGGTTACCAAAAGTGCCAAGTTAGAGCTACATCTGACAAGATACTGGGGGTGCAGGAGGTGGAGGGAAGGGGAGGGGGGGTGATATCACAATTTCTACATGACCAATGGATGACGAAGAGATGAACAAGCGCATGACTCATCGGTGTGCACCGGCATTCCTCCGCATATTCCAGCAGAATCACAAAGAAACGTACATTAGTCATTCCTTAAGGCACCCTACCTTTGCGTCACGCGTTCCATAGCCTCTTATGGCGCACAGGGCATCAATTAAACGCTCCATTCATTAAAAAAAACGACGATTTGAAGGCAAAGTACGTCACGGTGCAGATAAACATCTGGGTTATTACAAGAAAAAGAGACAACAACAAGCATTCAAATCATCCGGGTCGCCTGGTTTAGTGGGTGTTAAGAGGGAGATTATCAACCTATCCACGATGCGAAGGGGAGCGCTTGGTAAAATTGCGCAGCAAGAGGCTCCAGACGCAGCAGTCTTCACCAAACAGGAGACTGGAGAAATGGGTCAAGCCATGGCAGGGCGATTCCTATGAGACCACTCTCTACCAAACCAAAATAGACTTTAATTTGACTGCTAACTCGCTCTCAATGTGTCCAATCACGTTAGAAAAGTAGGTTATAGAGTGAAATCCAATGAAAGAGGCTTTCATCTTATCTAACGTGGAGGGCAAACGGAATGGGACAAGAAACCGACGACACAAGCAGAAGCGTGACAAAACACCGCCTGATCAAAAACATATACAAAGTAACAAAAAAAACAGCAGTATCAACACAAGTGTCAATTTGTGGGACAAACAACCCCAATGTGACATATTTTGAGAAGTCAAAGGCTATAAAAATGATCTAGATGTAGGGCACGTTTTAACTGGACATATGGGTTTGTCCTACATCCTGCTGATGGGCTAACGTGGTTCAGTAGTGCGCTGGCTGAGAGAGAACTCACCCACATAACACAGCTCCCTGAAAAGTGCGCATAGCCTGCGCAATTTGGCTCCTGGCTCACCAATGTGGGGTATCCCCCCCTCCCACATACACACCCCCCTGCTTCCAAAATGTGGGTGAAAACGCTGACTGGAGCCCCTCACAGCAGATGGTGCTGTGTTTGACTGGGGAGGGGAGAAGAAGAAAAAAAAACAATTGAGCTAATAAGGACCATTATCTTGCCAGTCAATCAGCTGCTTACCTGCGTTTGTTACGCAACATCAACCTCCCCTTGAATTAAGCCACACACAAAAAAAACGCACCAGAATGCAGCTCTCCTTTGTGCCAAAGTGAAGTTTGAGCTAAAAAAAACAAAAAAAAAAAAAAAAAACTCGTTCTGGTGTTTGCACGTCGAGTCCACCTGCCTACTTTGTGAGCTGCCCTCTTCGTGACCGTGATGCAGGTGGCGTGAAAGCTGATGTGAACCCGAACTCACCTGCCCATTTGCCCAGCTTCGGAGAGAGAAGCTGCCCGTTTCCCAAGACCCAGATCCTAAAGCCCGAGAGCAGCCTGTAGAGCAGCCACAGCGCCAGGGAGGCCACGGTGAACGCGCCGACCCAGAAGAGAGGCGCCTCGGCCCTGCGGAGCGTCTCCTCAACGTTCATCCAGTTCATGGTTGAGGCTCTCGGCGACTCTGTGTGTGTGTGTGTGTGTGGAGACCTCAATTTTAGGCAATGTGCTCTAATTTCCAAGCCACAACGTGAGAGAGAGTCCCTTTATAAGGAGGTTGTAGCATCACACACACGCGCGCGCGCACACTCCCCCAACACTTGTCTAGCCTGATTTAAAGTGCTCCGCCCCGCCCTCCTCTGCTCCTCACTGGCTGCAGTAGACGTCCCTCAGTTGATCCGCCCCGCCGGTTGGATGCATTTGCGCGTCGATCATCGCCCAGAGCTTCCCCCATTCATTCGATTTTCTCTATGAAGCAGGGTGGGTCAAAGGGAGACCGGGACGAGGAGCGATTGGGCAAACATTACGGCAGCTCCCATCCGGAGTCTGTCATTGGCTCTCACCGGAGCAGGTTTGTCGGTTTCAGTCAGGATTATGAAACCCTCCAAACCCACGCTTTCGGAAAAAATAAAAAACTGCCCACACCGCTTTATGAATGAAAGAATGCTCTCATTGGTGAAATATGTGCTGCTTCTCCCGCCCCTCGGAGGGCACTGGGAGGCAGTTTATTGGCTAAAGTGGTGCCAGTCTGTGAGGTCAGCTTGCTCCCACCTAGACATGAGTCATTCGTCTATTTTAGGTATTCCGCCTGCATCATACTGCTGATAACCACAAAAAAAATGTGGAAGCAGGTTCAGTGAGGCATCTTAGCGCACATATCCGCCCGTGTTTCGCCACAAAACTACTTCCACACTCACCTCTGTTGCAACACAGGCAGATGCAGGCTCCCCAAACAGGAAAAACTACAATCCCCAGTCCAACTTTCGCTTATTTTCTTTTTTTTTACTCTCGCGAGAGTATCCCCCTCCCCATCGTAGTTTGTTCCCCATCCGAAGGGGAGATGAAATGTGATGTGTGTGTGTGTGTGTGTGTTACATAAACAGTCAGACAGGCATGGGATTTTTTTCCATCGCTTTAATCAACGGTTTAGCATCTGCATGCACATGAACGCTGGATGTTCCAGCACTGGCTGTCACGACTTTTCTCCTCCGCAGCACGAGCCCTCTGTTCCGCACTCCGACCCAGAAAGGCGATTTGCAACAGCACTTCTTTTTCTTTTAGGTCTCCAACTCACCCCCTCCTCTGCCGCCATACTCCATGTCTCCCTCTCGTTCTCTCTCTCTCACACACACATACACACGCACACAGAAAATAAACATAAAATTCGGACACACGGATGATCTGTGGCACAAAGCAAAGCCTGCCATGTACTCAGCAGAGGGACAAGAGTATACAAATGTGTCCACGCGCCGACGGCCGTCGTGCAGCTGCTTGCATTATTTGACACAAGTGGAGGGATCGAAGTCAACGTGACAGCGAGAGGAAGGAGCAGCAAGTTGTGTAACAATTTCAAACCGGGTGAAATAAATTAAATGCATCTCCGAGCAGCTGCCTCTCAGTCTGCAGAGTAAAAATATATATTTACAAAAATGTCATATGTCACAAAAAATATATACTTTACCAGCACTGGTACATTCTGGCATAGTTGCACAATACATATTATACATTAATGTCCAATTTAGTAAACGTTTATCAACTTGGAGGCTCTAATATAGAGCTTTTGCATACAAATATTTGCCAACACGTTTCCTATTAAAATACAGCACATACATATGAGTGTTGTGTAACACAGCTATCAAAATGTCTTTAGTTGTGAAAGAGAGTGGCTTTAAAGTGTGTTTAAACTGATGACAATTAACACACACATACACATGTACACGCACACACTTCGGACGTTTTGAGGGTCCACCTTTATGTCTCGGTCGTGTCCTCACAGCTGAAAACAAGAGAACATGTGGATTAAGTGCTTTACAATTCCCTGTGAAAATCTGTACGTGTCTGTGTAATCTGCACGACTTTAAACACGCAAAGCACATCACAGAGAAAGTGTATTTCAGCGGGTCCACCGCCTCTGAAACAATAGTGTTGCATTTTTTTGTGAGAGATCTTTAAATATCAAGTACACAGGCAAAACAAATAAATAATACTTTTCTGTCCATTTATTTTAGTTTATGCCACAACGATACAACAAACTCCAGCGTCTACTTTTCTCTTTCAGTTTTTTTTGCTTTGTATAAACGTAAAGTGTATTTACCCCTCCTAGTATCGATAGTCCCAAGCACACACACACCACCTCCCTTAAATCCTGCAACACAAAGCCTTTCTCCCATCGAAGTTTCTGCCCCCCTACCCCCACCTCTCAACACACACACGCTGTTTCTCTCACCTTGTCAGAGTCAACACTAACCCCATGTTTCTACACACACACACACACACACACACACACACACACACACACACACACACACACACACACACACACAAAATCCAACAGTCCACTTTAACACTGCGACTTGACAAATCAGTTACTCCACCCAATAGCGTCCCTGGCATCTTCTCTGTCCACACATTTATCCAAAATTATATCTTATATTTCTTTAATTTTACTAATCATTAAGTAAAGATTTTTTAGCTGAGCACCAACAATTTAAAGATATAAAAATAGTCCTCTCTTTTGTTTCCTCTCTACAGATAATTTCTCAAACTGATAAAAATAAATAAATTTAAAAAAACACCCAACTATCATCACTGATTTCAACCACTTTTTAAAATATAAATTACGTTAATACCCGCTGAAGTTTTGTTGGCAATATTGTAGTTTAAACACAGGTATTTCCAGAGTTTACAGGGCAGCAAACTAACTAGTTTTAATTATCTGCCTTTTGTGTGTCGCTGTCTACCACTGCAGTGCTGAAACACACATTTCAGCACCGCAGAGGTGGACAGCGACACACACACACACACACACAAAACCCCTTAAACACTGCTAAAGCTTCTCAAATTGAAATGGCCGACTTCTGCCCTGCACATGGAGTTTTACACATTTGCACAAGAGTCAAACACACGTGAGAGACCAGCACACCCCCCCTGTCCTGTCCTGTCCTGTCCTGTCCTGTCATTCACACACAACTGTCCACCCTACAGTGACCCATTTAACTGATGATATTCACAGTTTACTGTGACACCACGTGCTTGTAACAGCTTAAAGATAACTTTTCAATAGAAGCCACACTCATGCAACACACAATTCCTGTTTTACTCTTCCAAAAACTGTGATAGTGGCAACATCAACACAAAAAGGTAGTAGTAGTAAACCACCAAATAATGCCACAGTACTCTTAACTTAACTCTAAACAACGACAGCTCCGTGTACACATTTCTGCCCAGTGAGTCATATTCAAAGCCTTTAAAGTATCTGACAAGCAACACCGCTTCAGTGCATCTCCTCAACACTATTATACAGACGCTTTCAACGTTACATTTCTTTTTCATATATACCTATAGTCCTGTTTCATCTGATGACCACAGCGACATTTCAGCAGCTGTAACTGAGGATACAGAGAACTGGAAAAAAACAAAGCAGTGCTGTTAAAAAAACAGTCCATTTGAACCTCTTATTTCATATTTTCATGTCTGTAGCAACTCAGAAATGGCTGAGGCATTAAGACAAATATCAAGTCGATTTAACACAATTCCAGAAAAATATGTGTTTTTATTTGACACATTTTCAGCCTTAAAAACTCTCTATTTTAACACAATGGCAGCTTCAAAATACATTTTAATAAACTGGGAGCTGAGAAATGTCCGTATGTGTTGGAATTCAAAAGATCGGTCCTTCAGTGGATCTTTAACAAGTCTCAATGGATATATTTTTACATCAGCTGTGGTTTCCCATCAAATTATATTTTACAGTTTTTCAGTAATTAAGTGTGTGTGTATGCATGCTGTCTGACAAAGTGTATGTTGTTTGCTGTGATTCATTTTTGTGTGACATAAAACATGAAACATATTCGTCCAGTTATATAGCAGCCTTACATAGTGACTGCTGTCACGTCGTCCTTTTCACCCGTTCATCCTGCAAGAAACAGAAAGAGACATTACAAACGCACAACACTCACTGTGTCACCATACAGTGAACCTGCTATGACACGCACACGCTCGCAAGGGAAAACACACACTCTAATAATACGCTACTGTAGAAACAGAAGGGCAAACACACACACACACACACACACACACACACACACACACACACACACACACAC